TAGGGATAAGATCCATGTCTCAGTCGTGGGAAATACCTCATGCAAAATGCTCCGAGACATGTTGTTGAACGCGGGGAGTGGCCCAGACATGGCTCGCGAGGGCCCAACTGTGTTGGTCGCGACACAATGGGATCTTCTGTTTGCCATAGCAATAATTCGTACTCTTTATGCTCCAGTCTTCAGCAATGTCAGAGCTATTAGAATCAAGTTTTATAGATTGCTCTCACGATTTGTAAACTTTTTCTGTAATCAGAAAAAATTATGCTAGAGTTCAGTTAGAGATCACACGACATTTCATTTGTGCTTCCGCAAACTATGATTACGTAGAAGACAGGTGAAATTAATGGAAGCTAGTCATTGGCTTTTCCGTAAAGAAAGGAGCTGCAAATAATATTGCCTCACAATGAGTTATCTTATGATAATGTACTACTGTGTTGCTGGTATCTCTGCTGTATTTTTTGTTTACTCATTATACTTGATTTTTAAAGTTTCCACACCACAAATGGTTCCGTACATCTACTACTTACTCACGATACAGGTGACCAAAGAAGAAGAAAAAGTAGGTATCGCTCAAGATCTATTTGAGGCTTTCACTTTTTTGGAATCGATCTACTGGACAGTGCTTATGGCACCGATAATAAAGCTACCTATATTTGGTATAGAACTTGGTGGTTTGATTTGGATGCTTTTCAAATTACCCTCGCAATATATATTTGTAAGTATTTTGTAAACAGTATGAGTCACCTGGCGTAAAATTTATATTTTATGGCTTCTCAACAGTGCTGCACTGTCTAGTGGATTGCTCATTTGCTTGGGCGTTTCTGTACCGATACAGGCTATGCCTCTTCAATTCCCGTTGGGAATTCTCCGCTAAAACAGAGTACGCGTTTTTCGCTATAAGTTGTGCAAGCACCGTCTTCGGCTCAACTCCTGCATCAATTTGGGCATTTAAGAATAATGAAGAAAGCAGACGCGAGGCTTCCGCGGTGAGTTCACATACTGATTCTTTTTCAAGCAAGGATATATGTAGCAGCTTGTATTGAAAGCTGTGATCATTACCACAATCTGTGCACATCAGCCTCGCAAATGGCTCACGCAGTCGTAGCCGTACCCAAAAGGGACAGCGTAGTTGACATGAACTGTACCGTCTCAGGCTGTCCGAATTGAAAAGCGAGGCCTCTGATTACGCAGCCCAAATCCTGCCGCAAAAAATGAATTTTAAGCCAGGAAAACTGCTTCACAAGTTAGAAGTGGCTCAGATGGCTCCACCCATGAACGTCATTCGTCTCAAGGTAATAAGCTCGGTTAGAGTAGACAGAAATTTCGAAAATTCGATGATCATAATGTAAGGCGGATTATGACAATTTAGACATATTACATTGAAGCTCGATTATGGATTTTTCATCCTCCGACTGGTTACTCACTTGGGCCGCTTCCACCTCTAGCGTCTTTCTCGCTTTGGAATTATCTTTTGTAACGGGACTTGTTTTATTTACCAGTTAGTTAAGTGATCTCGCTATCATACAACTCAAAATCCCATAAATCTTGATTTGGGTATAATGGTCACGATGATTTTGCTCTGATAATTGTGGAAGACTTTACGTACCTACTCAGGTTTGACAGTTTTGAGTTCAAAATTGTTCCAGCTCAACTCTACTCTCATATTTGATGATAGTTTTGTCACTAGTGGTGGTCCCACAACTTTACTTTGGCTAGCTTTTCTGCTCGTTGGATCGACTACAGCTGTTGTCGGTATCACTATCATAATCAAGCATGTTTCAATCATTCTCAAGGATCAGGCAAAGTTTAGCCAGACTTCTAGAGATATGCATCGAAATGCTATTACTGGTCTCATCATTCAGGTAAGCGGAAAAAGAAAAGCAATTTTATTAGGGGGGAGTGGGAGACTGAGACTCTGATAACTGGAACAAATAACTTTTATTCAACTTCACGACCCAAAGTTCTGCCACCATACCACAAATTTATGAAGAAGTGAAGCTTCTCCATTATTCAACGTAACTGTCCAATTCGGACTCATTTTATTGCAGGCTATTGCAGTAACGTCGTGCACTGTAGTGCCTATGTTTATGCTATGCCACATTCTCCTTTTTCCTCCATCATCAACAACATTTATATCCCGTAAGACGTTTAGTCTTGATGCCACATTCATTTGCATATGTTCGAAGTAATGTTGCAGACTATGCAACTTGCTCGACACTATTGTTCTCGCTGAAATCATTTAACGCAAGTA